ATGACGGATGAGGTACCGAAAGTTTGGAAGGGACGTCAGTCACTGTCATTCAAAAAGTTCTAGGATCTAAATCTCTCTCCACACCCACACTTGTAATGAAGAAAATTATCCGAAGAGAAGTTGCTGTCTTCTGCCATAAACGCAAAATTATTCCATCACAGCCAAGGCTTTCTTCCTGGTGCAAGCCATACTACCAATCTTGTTGACAGCCTGTTTAATTGGATCAGTGTGGTTTGTTGGATAAAAATTGTTGGAGAAAAATGACCGAGGGTAGCTTCTGGTCACTCGTTTGTGGTACACGAAACCTCGTACCTACTGTGACGACCTACCAAATAATTGAGGGGCAAGGCTCTAAGACCAATTCCCGCTCATAATATTTTTCTGGCGTAGTCCCCTACGACTGCTGCCTGCTCCGCCTCCTTAAGGCTTTCTTAGCTACGAAAACTTTCAGCAACTTTGATGACAACAGTCGAGGGGGCGCTGACTTACTCTACTCGCAGCCTTCTCAGTTCAGGGAGGAGGGGAATGCTTGCTTGTTCCATTGGGTAGCACTGTAGTGGCTAACCATGACGAGTATAGTGTTGATCAATTTCCACTGTATAATGAGTTAGAAAACAAAAAAATGAAAAAAAGTCACAACAGTGACAAGACTTTCCTTCCGACCTATATTATCTTACCAGCTGTTATCACGTCCTGCCACCCACCAATAATGCTCCCATCCTGCCCCCTATCTTATTCGTTGGACTGAAAGCCCCATCGTTGCGACTGTAACTGATCAGTCAAGGTTTTAGCTCAATCTGAGATCTTAGCTCCCGTGTATAGGAATGATAGAAACCGTCTTCTATTCTGAACATTCTGTACGGTGGATCTCTCCATTGCAACATGTAATGGTTGAGGATCCAACTAATAAACACGCCAGTCACTGCGACAACTCCTTCAAGCAATAAAAAGAGAATCAATTGACTTGTCCCCAATAGACAGCACGTCACTCATGGAGTATACTCAAAATCCCTGAGATGTGGTAGGCGTGGCTGCGTACTTCAACCAAACGTGGCAGTAGCTGTGCTTTTGGTAAGATAGTTTCATTTTGACTCTATTGCGGTCATGTCTCCGTCCAGCACCGAACAAGATGGCAGTTGTCTTAAAATGACCACGAGTAAGTAACCCATTCTGTGCCATGCTCAAGTGACGCCCACTCTGTCTCAGGTATAATAAGTGTATCTGGAGAACGCTTGCAATCATGGTGACTTTCTCGGTTCACGCTTATCCCCCTTTCCTAGCTTTCATTTGATCGATCCATTCCAGTGAAGATCTTAGATGTTTTGCTGTGTTGTGCACACGTTCTCAAACTTTCCACCTTTTTACATATCCCATTTTCTGAGGACATGGTGGAGTCGTATACTAGGCGTTCCTTCGTCCCAACGCTTCCAATGTTTTTGTAGCTTTCCCTTTTGCTTATTTTTTTTTTTTTTTTTTTTTTTTTTTTTTTTTTTTTTTTTTTTTTTTTTTTTTTTTTTTTTTTTTTTTTTTTTTTTTTTTTTTTTTTTTTTTTTTTTTTTTTTTTTTTTTTTTTTTTTTTTTTTTTTTTTTTTTTTTTTTTTTTTTTTTTTTTTTTTTTTTGAAAAAATCATGGAAATCGATTAAATATCTGTAAAGACTTGAAAAAGCAGCTTTATTGAAACATTTCCGCGCGCTTCTGAGTTACGCGCTACATGCATACCCTCGTCATCCGGGCAGTTGATTAGGGCGGTCGTCAACGGGCCGCAGCGCGTGCCAGGAACTATTTGCTTTTCCAGGCTAATTTAGTCATTTTTTCACCTTGTGAAGATAAGGAGCTGCTAATCTGGGAAAAAGTAGCCAAAACAGTGAAAAGTTGGAAAAAATGACTAAATTAGCCTGGAAAAAGCAAATAGTTCCTGGCACGCGCTGCGGCCCGTTGACGACCGCCCTAATCAACTGCCCGGATGACGAGGTTACCTGCAATAAGCCAATGAATAAATAAATAAGTACATAGGTTTATTTGCTTTCAACATGCAGCCTGTTAATCACATGCGCAGCCTAACAGTGGAATATCATCTGCCATGCAACAATTTCAAAACAATCATGGCGATTTCCTTACTCTTCTGAATTCTATGGAGGGCGTGTCCATAAGGAGGTATATGGTATGTGACGTTGAACATATTCGGTTGACATACAATAGTAGCAGTCCCAAGGTGACGTCTCTCCTTTAGATTCCATCTTTACCCGGTTCTCATAATTTGTCGCTACCTTAGGAGCAATGGATTCACTCGACCAGGCTATAGAAATTCTGCAGTACTCCAATATTATAGTATCCACTATTTCTGCATTTTTGATTTATGGATATGTAATACGTCGTATAAGAGCAAATAGTGCTTCTCTCACACAGTATCAGAGTTTTCTAGTTGTACAGGCTCTCGCTTATATTTTCGGCTCGGCGGTTTTCCTTGTAATGAATGAGGTAATTTTGATTACTGAATGCTCCAGTGACAGGCTACAACATCATTAGGAATATCTTAGCAGGACGGTTTCGTCTTTTCAGGAAAAATTTTTTCAGAGTCGCAAAAACATTGACCATTTCCCGGTAATTCCCCTTCCCCGCTATCGCTTTTTCCGCTGCTCTCATTAGCTGCCTTTGACAACCTTCTTCTCCCTGTTCGACGGCTCTTTCCCGGAGAAAACTGTGAAATGGATTTGGAAACGCAGTAGGAAACTTGGAAAACCAGAACAGATGGTGTAAGAGACAAAAAGAGGATTGCATCAGACAAAGAAATTTTTTGAGGTGAAGTAGGGTCCTACATACACCGTCGTCTCATGCATCAGAATGTGTACCCAGTAGCATGCTACGACTTCTCGTGAAATGATTCAACTTTGAATCCTATACTCCATATGTTTCAGCGGGTGACACTGCAAATGGAAGATCGAACTGGTTATCCATTCATCCCTGTACCCCAATGGTTGGACTCCTTGTTGACTTCTTTAGTGGAAACTGCGGAATGCACGTTGCTGACGCTTTTCAACATTTATCGAGTTTTAATCTTTACAAGGTTAGCTGTGTTGAAAGTTACAAACTCACCTTTACATGATTAGTTTGTGTGTGTTGAATGAAAATGTCTGTCATTCCGATAAGCATTTCTAGAGTTGGGCAGATTGGATCTTTCTTCGTCTTCGCTGCTCCCATGGCTGCGTGTTGTACGATTTGTATAGGAGCATCGAGTACAGTTTTCCCAGTAAGTATGTTTAAGTATGTTAAGGCTAGTGGCAAGCTATGTATGGTACAACCGTTTTCGCCACAGACGGTGGGCGTGTCAGTAGCACTGGATTTCGTGCATCGCCAGCACGCTCTCCACAAACTGTTCAAAGACAGCTCCCGCGATAAAAGTCTCATGGATAGCTGCTTTCCAATTATGAAACAGTAGCTGATAAGTAATCTCCCAAAGAAGAAAACAGGCAAGCGTCCTCCAGAACAACATAAACAAAATCGCTCCCTCACAGTCACACCTCCCTGCGGTCTCTGTGCAACCCCTAGCTCACAAATCTCTCTATCACATCTCGCAGTAGTTGATATCATCCAGTGCAAAAAAAAGAATACAAAAAGAAAACAACAAAAACGCAGAGGAAAAACTCTTGGAAGGAAAAAGGAATTTTATCAACGCGGTGTCTGAATTTGGGATTACGGTAGCGCACGTTTTGTGCGTCGAGGTTTTGCATCACGAAAATTGCGTCACTCGTGCTTTTTACGCGTTTCACCTCGCGAAATGAGTTGAATTGAATGTATATACCTCCAATGAGTAAACTGTAATAAAGGGGAGCAGAATTATCCATGGGCATTAGCAATGCCCGCCGCCCCGACTAAGAACAACTGAGTGGCCTCCGTCGGAGGACATCTAGCAAGTAAGGCGGTCCAACTGAGCAGGCGTTAGAACTAGAACTTACAGCGGCTGTAGCTCGCTTCTCGCTCGCTGTGCAGACGAATAGAGTGGGACAGTCTCTAGCTTGGGGCTGTACTACTTGCACAAGGAAGAACGACCATGTACTACTCGAGCGCGGGGCTGTCTTTAACACGTTGACGACGGACAATGGTGGCTGACAGCCAGTCTGTCTCATGGGACGATGGCAGACAATGGTGTCTGCCAGTATATTTTCTAAGAATAAAGATGGACGAACAGCCAAGTTTGTCGTAAACGTGTCCCTGGGGGGTAGCTTGTCCCTCTGAAATGAATACCACAGCTGCTTGGCGCAAACTACCTGGCGCCCGCGCCACAGGCGCCGGCGCCAAAATACCGTAAATCACCAAATTATTCGAAAATTTGTTCCCAGCGCTAGTTCAACCCCCTAAACAAGAATATCATGTCTACTTAATGCGTTGACGACGATTTCCGTCAATGGTGGACGACACCCATTTTATCTTGCACCAAAGCCCTGAACGACAGTCACCATATAATCAAAAATCTGCGCGGTTGTTTCATTTTTTTTCTGAAAAATCGAGGATTTCCGGGCCAAGGGGGTGCGATATGAATCGAGGTGGTGAGGAGGTGAAGCTACACCGGGAGACAAATTTTCAGCCAATTCTGCCTCCAGAGGAAGAAGTTGGTAAAAAATGGCCTGGTTTTGGAAGATTGGAGCAATAAAAGCTAAATTGTGTCAAAGATTCGAGATTCGTATACTCGTATCTTGCATTTCTTGAAACATTTTGACCGTAGCCATTCATTTATTCAAAAATTACTAAGTTTCTACGAAGAAAAACGTGCCGTCCCATGGGCAATTCATGAAAAAAACGGCTTGTCTTCAACGTGTTAAGCGGTAAGCGACAACAATTTATGCAAAACGGGCTAATGCCGCGCTCAACGTTGCCCCCTGACACGCTTTAGCGTCTGCAGCAAGAGAAACTGTAGCTTCTTGTACTATATTAGGTTGGCAACTAAGTAATTGCGGATTTTTTTAGAATATCAATGACAATTTTTTCATGGAACGAAATAATTTTATTCTGTAATGTATTGCCCATTTTTATCAATGACCTTTTGCCATCTTTCAGGCAGCATCATAATCCCACGTTCATAAAACTTCTGGTTTTTATTAGCAAAAAACTGAATCAGGTGCGATTTGACATCATCATCATTATTGAAATTTTCACCATTCCACGCTCTTTTCCGTTTGAAATTGTTGTAAGCAACCCATTTTTCATCGCCAGTTATCAGTCGTTTTAAAAATGGATCATTTTCGTTACGTTTCTTAAGGCAGCGTCTGCATTGAGATTTTCCTCTCCCTTCGTGAGCAGGTAGTCAGGTCCGCAGAGGCAACAACTACACCACTTTCGCGGCGCAAAAACGAGTGAGGAGGCCCACGATGCCGTCGTTCTTCTCATTGGCCCAACCTACAATCATTGGCACCGCCCTCCACTCATTCCTAATGGTTATCTGATGGTGCGGTTGTTTCGCTGCTGCTTCTCTCCACGTCGAGTGGTGAGAGTGAGGTGATAAGGGAAAACAGCTGATATCAACAAGTGAGAACTCGTGCGACCGCACCTTCTCTTCGCCTTGAGCACGTACAACCTCAGTTAAGCAAGGGGTTCTATATAGAGCCTTTCCTATGATTTCTTTCTGATTTTTCTTCTAAGGGGTTACTTGCTACCTTGTTATAAGTATTTGAGCCGCATAACTCATCAAATTTGAATGCGGGCTCAGCCTTTAACCATTCGCGACCAGGCGCGTTTTTCGAAAACGGCTCGTTCGGACCGGAGCATTTGCGAGCTCTCAGCAAGTGTCCGCCACCAGTGGTGGACACGGTCCCTCGTGACCCCTTACCGAAAAATTTTAGCACTGTTCAACTTTCTGCTCCCGAAATCTCCTTTTTTACTGGAACCATCGAGTGCAGGGGTTATTCCTCAGGTCACAAAAATGACATTCGTCTGTCCTCCGGTGCCATTTGGCGCCAATGTGCGCTAAATTTAGTGCTACAGTCTTTCCCTCGAGAACTCGTGTTAGCTTGGTCTCAAGGAGGTTTTGAGGCGAGCGGAAGGGTACTCGTGTTAAAAAGGTCAAGCCAACTCAGGGAACGACTGCTATGTATGCCAAGTCTGTCCACAAAGAAAGAAAGTTGGTCGAAAGTTGGCTTGGTTCCGGATGTCTGAGGCACTAAAGGATTGACTGTGCCGATAGTTTTTTCACTGGCGCTATTCGGCGTTAGGATCCACCTGCACTCGCCGTCGCACTTTTTCCGCTAAAGTCGCAGCTGTTTCGCATTCGAGCTCAATTGGGGGGGGGGAGCCCATCACAAATAAGACACTGGTTTTTATCTTTGCAGAGCAGTACATGGCATGAGCCTCATGTAGCGCTCTGAAAATACTGTAGCTTGGAGGAGTGATTCCCCTTTCTAAGGTAGGCTCACCCTCTGCATCGCATTGATAACCCTTGTGCCCTACGCTGAACGTTCCTGCTAAAAGTGAATGTCATATCAATAATAAGGACAGCGAATAATCCTAGTATCCAAGTTCCTGTAGTGAACGTCATATTCGTGAACAAAGTCCTAGTATGTAAATTTTACCTGAAGTTTGGTGAAAATGGTGCCAAATGGCGTCAAACATCGCCGGTGCCAGAAACGGACGCGTCACATTCGCGATAGGGGCACTGAGTAATCTCTACCTAATTTTCAGCAGAAATCTTTCTAGAGGTTTTGGGCTCAGGTGCTGCTAGTTGAATCGTGCCTGGGACCCTTATATCTGAAGATCTCGTTGGTCCACTATTTGCATAAATTAACAAAGGTATGAAGACTTGTACCACTGGGAAAAGTTCCTCGAAGAACTCGAACTGTTTCTAAAAATTTCATCAAAAGCCCGTCCGCCACATATGGTGGACATGGTCCGAAGTGGACATTTCGGTGTCCACCACCAGTGGCGGACATTGTCACGAATGGGTTAAGCAAATCGCAGTTGTTAATGCGTTGCGTTAAATGCTTTTCTTTCAGTTCATGAGGAACCCATGTATCAAGTTTTTGAACATAGCCAAGCTGTTTTAAGTGATTTTCAATGCATGTATGTGATACATGGAGCTTCTCTGCGATCTCACGTGTTGTACTGTGACGATCCGAATCCACTGTTGCTTTGATAAGGTCGTTAGGACTTTACGAGCTTTACAAGCTACACTGCCAGGATTTTGGACTAGCCTGGTCGCCCCCCGATGCCGTCCTTGCACCGAGGACCCTCGCATACTTTCCACACTCGCCGGGCCATACGAGTGCGCGTCGGCTCCCGCGGACGCCGTAGCATTATCTCGATATACATATGGCATGACAAACATATTGATGTGACATGGGTGTTCGTAGGCCGGCCCGTCACGGAGGCCTGTCACCTGCGTTCGTGCGTCTGCGTTTAGGCAACTCGCAAAGCGAGCAGTACCCAGTGGCACCGCGTGGAGGAGCAGACTTCAACCCATTCTTACGAACATATTAAAGAGCATATTAAATACTATCATGACACTCCGCCACAGCCTTCTGGACGAGCGCCATCGAGAGATTCTGGCACGCGACCGCGATGTGGTGCCTGAGATCAGCGAGATAGTCGATTTCTCCGCCACCGTAGACCACCCTATTGAACTCCGCCCGAACCGGGTAATTGAGGGGATTCAGGTCAGGTCTACTTGGATATTCCATCTTCTTTAGGTACTCAGCCCCCTTCCATTCCAAGTAGGCGAGAGTTTCTCCAACGCCCATGTGGTGGCACCCAATGCTGTAGCAGTACAAAGTTTCCAAGAAGGTACGGGCGACGACATGTGAGGAGGATATTCTTCACGAGTTGCTCGATGTAACCGCCAGCGCTCACCTTCAGTCCGGGGTCCACGAAGAAAATATTGGTCTTTCCATTCCAGGTACGTCCGGTCCATACCATCAACCCGCGCCTTGGCGACTGCGGTGAAGATGATGTCCTAGACCGTAGCGACGTTGTCGGAGCTGCTCGATGTTGGAGGTCTTCCAGATCGAGAGTAGTGTCAGGTAGCTATCCATGGGTGACTCCATACTAGAAGTTTCGCAGCTGTTTGGAGGTAACATGAATTCCAAAGGTCTTTCTCCAGTTAGGCTACGAC